TAAAATAGCATAGCCCTTATCTTTTTTTTTTTTCTGTTCTAGCCACATTGAGATATAAAAAATCCCCAATTCAAGTCATTTGAATCTAAATATTACTGTAACGATGACGACAGAACCAGGACTAAGCAGAGTTCTAAAACCAAAAACCCTGAATAAAACCCGACACGAGACCAGAGAAACAACAGGATTAAAAAAACGGCGTCTCTGGAGAGAAAAGCCGTTTCTAAAATCTGCCTCCGAGTTCAAAGAGCGCGGTTCAAACAAAACTTAAAAAGCTGAATATGTGTGACATTAAAAACCCCTGTAAATGCCCCGTCGCCATGACAACCCCGACATATGCATTTATGTGATTATGTTTCCTGTCATTACATAAGACAGCTCTCTCCATCTGCAGCGCACTGCAAAAAAAACATCAAATATGAGAAAGTAAAACATTAAATCAACATTTCTCCGGTTTATAGACTTTTCATCTTTTTGAAGCTGTTTTTATGGATGTATTTCTGGTTTTGACCTTTTAGTCTTGAGTCTGAAACAAAGTATTGAAATGATTTGAATCTAATTATTTCGAGCACGTTCTGATTGTGTTAAAACAAAATCTTTTGAAACTGTTATTTTGCTTTGAGTGTGTTTTAAGTCAGAATGTGCTCAGATTAAGACACGTTTAGCCAAATTTTAGCCTTTTTTTAACCTAAAATAAGCCGATACTTTTGTGTGTGTGATGCTGGATGTGGTTTACTATATATATATAAAGTCATTTGATTTGTTATTATTCTGTTATGATTCTTCCTCTGTTTCCTCTTTGTCATGCGGTGTGCCTCAGGGTTCTATTTTGGGTCCCATGTTATTTTCTCTTTACATGCTAGCACTGGGGTCCATTATTGCGCGACATAAATTTGCATTTCATTGCTATGCAGATGATCTACTAATCTTTTTGCCAGTTTGGTCCAATGGGAGTGATGCATCTCTGACACTAAACTGTGGTTACAGCAGAATCTCCTTTAAATTAGGACTAAACTGATTTTATTTTGGCGATTCACCTGTTTCAGATTTTGGTCCGTTGTCTTCTTGTTTTAAACCAATGGTCAGAAACCTTGGTGTTGTTTTTGATCATTCTTTTCGGTTTGACAAACAGATTGACAGTGTGGTCAGGTCAAGTTTTTATCAGCTCCGTATTTTATCCAAGGTTAAGCGAAAAAACGATCCACGCTTTTATGGGGCGGCACGGTGGCTGAGTGGATAGCGTAGGTTTCCTCCGGGTACATTTACATTGAGTGCCCAATGAACTATCATCATCATCATCATCACCACCACCATCACCATCACCATCACCATCATCATCACCACCATCATCATCATCATCATCACCACCATCACCACCATCATCATCATCATCATCACCATCATCATCATCATCACCACCATCACCATCACCACCATCATCATCATCATCATCACCATCATCATCATCACCATCATCATCATCACCACCATCATCATCATCATCATCACCACCATCACCACCATCATCATCATCATCATCACCATCATCATCATCATCACCACCATCACCATCACCACCATCATCATCATCATCATCACCATCATCATCATCACCATCATCATCATCATCTTCACCATCACCATCATCATCATCATCATCATCACCACCACCATCACCATCATCATCATCATCATCATCACCACCATCATCACCATCATCATCATCATCATCACCACCATCATCATCATCATCACCATCACCATCACCATCATCATCATCACCATCATCATCATCATCACCATCATCATCACCATCATCATCACCATCATCATCATCTTCACCATCATCATCATCATCATCACCACCATCATCACCATCACCATCATCATCACCATCGCGGCACGGTGGCTGAGTGGATAGCACTCTCGCCTCTCAGCAAGAAGGTCCTGGGTTCGAATCCCAGTCGGACCAGGGCCTTTCTGAGTGGAGTTTGCATGTTCTCCCTGTGTCTGCGTAGGTTTCCTCCGGGTACTCCGGTTTCCCCTACCACTAAAAATATGTCCAATAGGCATGTCTGGCATGTGCCTCCTGTACTGGCCCCTCCCATCTCTGTGTGGAGTGAGAGACAAATGCTCAATAATAACCATAGCGAACTATCTAAATGACGTCACTAAGACACGCCCCCGCCGCCTGTCAACTCCCGCCCACATGTTTCGGACAAACACTGCCGAAATGGAATCAAATACCACTTGTCACTTTAGACGAAAATGATATACCAGGGGCAAAATTCCACCATCAAACCATCAGGGATCATAGTGTAGACCAATTATAACGTTGGCTTGAATGTCGTGGTCTTCCAGTAACTGGTAGAAAGTTTGATTTGATAAAAAGGTAATGGTGAGGATTATGCTAACATTATCTAGTCATTTAAATTGCAATGCTAGCGCCTTCTTTGTTTGTTTTGCTGTGATTAACTTCCATTTATCAAGTTGTTTTTGCACTATCCACTTTGTAATTAGTTTGATCATTAGTTAGCTACAGTCAGCTGATATTATAATAAATCCATGATCACAACGGGTTACGCCACTACTGTCTCTGCAGAGAGAAACTATCGGAGCTAGCCACACTCAGTAAACGCAAATGACAATCAATCAACACATTTAAATGTTAATGGGAGAATACATTATACACATTCATAACACAAGTGCACGGAGGTTTTCAGAATTAACTGTTCAGGTTTTCATGACAAAAATACTTTTTTAATGCGACTAAAGCGATCGCTTTTAGGTTAACTATCCTCACTGTTACTCGCCTGCCACGGGAAAACCTTTGGGAACTATTTTCTTTGCACTCATTAAATAAACCTTTCGGCATGAGTAGTGAATGACGTTTATTTTGTGTGTTCAATTGGTACAAAGCCGTATAATAAGCAGACACAAAGTTGAAAAAAATCCCTCTCATCTTTCTTCAGGTGTGAGAATTGTATACTTTCTGGATTAGGACAAACAATACTAATATGGATTGATGGGGGTAAATGGTGTAAAGAGAAAGTTTGTGCTAACTACATTCAGAAGAGCTCAGACGGACCTGATACAGCGGTCCAGATCCAGTCCCAGCTAAACGTAGCTAGGACTGGATCTGGATGCTCCACAGTTGGTCCAGCGAAGTGTTTTGAAAAAACATGTGCCCTTTTTAACCTTTTCATGAGAGAAATTCTGCCGACCACAAGCACCCACCTGGTCTGATCTGGTCCTGGTCTGGTCCTGGTCTGGTCCTGGTCTGGTTCGATGTTGTGGTTTAACGAACGGGTTGAATGTTACTTTCATATAGTCCTTTTCAGAGTATCTGAAATCGCTCCCACAAGCACCATAACTGCAGTGTTTTGTTGTCACCATGATTCAATGATTTAGCCCAAATAAATACACACGCGTATGAGGAGAACACAGTAGAACTCAACGAGTCGTACACAATGTTTGTCCGAAACATGCGCGCATGCGCAGTCATCTGAGCTATTTTTAGCACATTTCGGAAACCGGACAGTGCCCTATTGTAAACCGCTTTGAGACTCAGATCTGCAGTGAAAAGGCGGTATATAAATAAATAAAAAAAACTTACTTTTATCAGTTCAAGAATTGATGACTGTAATGCCCTTTATTTTGGAGTTCCCCAGTCTTGTTTTAATCGTCTCCAGTTAATGCAAAATGCTGCAGCTGGTTTTTTAACAAACACGCCCAGACGTGAACACATCGCCCCAGTCCTTTACAGCGGCTCCAGTTGATTTTAAAATGTTACTCTTTGTTTTTAACGCCCTCAATGGTCTCGCCCTCTGGACTTTTGACTGTTTGTGACTCAGGCAGATCCTTGAGGACCTCATCTCAACATAGTCATTTGATTTGTTATTATTCTGTTATGATTCTTCCTCTGTTTCCTCTTTGTCATGCGGTGTGCCTCAGGGTTCTATTTTGGGTCCCATGTTATTTTCTCTTTACATGCTAGCACTGGGGTCCATTATTGCGCGACATAAATTTGCATTTCATTGCTATGCAGATGATCTACTAATCTTTTTGCCAGTTTGGTCCAATGGGAGTGATGCATCTCTGACACTAAACTGTGGTTACAGCAGAATCTCCTTTAAATTAGGACTAAACTGATTTTATTTTGGCGATTCACCTGTTTCAGATTTTGGTCCGTTGTCTTCTTGTTTTAAACCAATGGTCAGAAACCTTGGTGTTGTTTTTGATCATTCTTTTCGGTTTGACAAACAGATTGACAGTGTGGTCAGGTCAAGTTTTTATCAGCTCCGTATTTTATCCAAGGTTAAGCGAAAAAACGATCCACGCTTTTATGGGGCGGCACGGTGGCTGAGTGGATAGCGTAGGTTTCCTCCGGGTACATTTACATTGAGTGCCCAATGAACTATCATCATCATCATCATCACCACCACCATCACCATCACCATCACCATCATCATCACCACCATCATCATCATCATCATCACCACCATCACCACCATCATCATCATCATCATCACCATCATCATCATCATCACCACCATCACCATCACCACCATCATCATCATCATCATCACCATCATCATCATCACCATCATCATCATCACCACCATCATCATCATCATCATCACCACCATCACCACCATCATCATCATCATCATCACCATCATCATCATCATCACCACCATCACCATCACCACCATCATCATCATCATCATCACCATCATCATCATCACCATCATCATCATCTTCACCATCACCATCATCATCATCATCATCATCACCACCACCATCACCATCATCATCATCATCATCATCACCACCATCATCACCATCATCATCATCATCATCACCACCATCATCATCATCATCACCATCACCATCACCATCATCATCATCACCATCATCATCATCATCACCATCATCATCACCATCATCATCACCATCATCATCATCTTCACCATCATCATCATCATCATCACCACCATCATCACCATCACCATCATCATCACCATCGCGGCACGGTGGCTGAGTGGATAGCACTCTCGCCTCTCAGCAAGAAGGTCCTGGGTTCGAATCCCAGTCGGACCAGGGCCTTTCTGAGTGGAGTTTGCATGTTCTCCCTGTGTCTGCGTAGGTTTCCTCCGGGTACTCCGGTTTCCCCTACCACTAAAAATATGTCCAATAGGCATGTCTGGCATGTGCCTCCTGTACTGGCCCCTCCCATCTCTGTGTGGAGTGAGAGACAAATGCTCAATAATAACCATAGCGAACTATCTAAATGACGTCACTAAGACACGCCCCCGCCGCCTGTCAACTCCCGCCCACATGTTTCGGACAAACACTGCCGAAATGAATCAAATACCACTTGTCACTTTAGACGAAAATGATATACCAGGGGCAAAATTCCACCATCAAACCATCAGGGATCATAGTGTAGACCAATTATAACGTTGGCTTGAATGTCGTGGTCTTCCAGTAACTGGTAGAAAGTTTGATTTGATAAAAAGGTAATGGTGAGGATTATGCTAACATTATCTAGTCATTTAAATTGCAATGCTAGCGCCTTCTTTGTTTGTTTTGCTGTGATTAACTTCCATTTATCAAGTTGTTTTTGCACTATCCACTTTGTAATTAGTTTGATCATTAGTTAGCTACAGTCAGCTGATATTATAATAAATCCATGATCACAACGGGTTACGCCACTACTGTCTCTGCAGAGAGAAACTATCGGAGCTAGCCACACTCAGTAAACGCAAATGACAATCAATCAACACATTTAAATGTTAATGGGAGAATACATTATACACATTCATAACACAAGTGCACGGAGGTTTTCAGAATTAACTGTTCAGGTTTTCATGACAAAAATACTTTTTTAATGCGACTAAAGCGATCGCTTTTAGGTTAACTATCCTCACTGTTACTCGCCTGCCACGGGAAAACCTTTGGGAACTATTTTCTTTGCACTCATTAAATAAACCTTTCGGCATGAGTAGTGAATGACGTTTATTTTGTGTGTTCAATTGGTACAAAGCCGTATAATAAGCAGACACAAAGTTGAAAAAAATCCCTCTCATCTTTCTTCAGGTGTGAGAATTGTATACTTTCTGGATTAGGACAAACAATACTAATATGGATTGATGGGGGTAAATGGTGTAAAGAGAAAGTTTGTGCTAACTACATTCAGAAGAGCTCAGACGGACCTGATACAGCGGTCCAGATCCAGTCCCAGCTAAACGTAGCTAGGACTGGATCTGGATGCTCCACAGTTGGTCCAGCGAAGTGTTTTGAAAAAACATGTGCCCTTTTTAACCTTTTCATGAGAGAAATTCTGCCGACCACAAGCACCCACCTGGTCTGATCTGGTCCTGGTCTGGTCCTGGTCTGGTCCTGGTCTGGTTCGATGTTGTGGTTTAACGAACGGGTTGAATGTTACTTTCATATAGTCCTTTTCAGAGTATCTGAAATCGCTCCCACAAGCACCATAACTGCAGTGTTTTGTTGTCACCATGATTCAATGATTTAGCCCAAATAAATACACACGCGTATGAGGAGAACACAGTAGAACTCAACGAGTCGTACACAATGTTTGTCCGAAACATGCGCGCATGCGCAGTCATCTGAGCTATTTTTAGCACATTTCGGAAACCGGACAGTGCCCTATTGTAAACCGCTTTGAGACTCAGATCTGCAGTGAAAAGGCGGTATATAAATAAATAAAAAAAACTTACTTTTATCAGTTCAAGAATTGATGACTGTAATGCCCTTTATTTTGGAGTTCCCCAGTCTTGTTTTAATCGTCTCCAGTTAATGCAAAATGCTGCAGCTGGTTTTTTAACAAACACGCCCAGACGTGAACACATCGCCCCAGTCCTTTACAGCGGCTCCAGTTGATTTTAAAATGTTACTCTTTGTTTTTAACGCCCTCAATGGTCTCGCCCTCTGGACTTTTGACTGTTTGTGACTCAGGCAGATCCTTGAGGACCTCATCTCAACTCCTCCTGGAAGTACCAAGGACTAGGTCTAGGTCCAAACACTGGAGACCGGTCCTTCTCAGTCCTGGACCCAGACTCTGGAACAAGCTGCCCCCTGATATGCCTGTTCTTACTGCATTTGGCCTTTTTAAATCCAGGCTCAAAACGTATTTATTCAGACTGGATTTGAACACGGATTTCCCACCTCTGCACCTTCTCCATCGACTCCCACTGATGACTGCTGTCGTTGTGTCCTTGGGCAAGACACTTAACCCCACTTTGCCCAAAAAGCTCCCACTGAAAGATCAAGGCTATGCTCACACTCAGAAAGCAGCCGTCCTCCTGTGGACTCACCACCTGCAGAGGGTCAGTGAGGGGCTGGTGCTATGAGACTTGGGTGGCATCTCTGACTGCCACCCCCCTGACCCAGAAATGGATTAAAGGGAAGAAAATGGATGGATGGATGGATGGATGGATTTGAACACTTTTATCACTCAACAGCAGATTTTTAAATGCTTTTTTAAATGTTTTTTAAATTTTTTTTTTATGTTTTATTGTTTTAGTGCATACATGTTTAAAATTGATTTTATGTAATTTTATTGTGAAGCACTTTGGTCGCCTTGAGTGTTGTAAAGGGCTCTATAAATAAAATGTATTGATTATTATTATGTTAGTTACTATTATTAAGCAAGTTATTAGTTAATATTATTTTGTTTTAGGCAATTTTCCTCGACTAAGTAGATGTATTTGATAGAGCTGAGCTCCTGTGGATCCTGGAGCAGGATCAGGAGCTGGTGCTGTGAGGTGTAGCTCCTCCTGTGAGGTGTAGCTCCTCCTGTGAGGTGTAGCTCCTCCTGTGAGGTGTAGCTCCTCCTGAACATTAAAAGGAGATGAAAAATGGAAATAATAAAAAATGTGTGATTTTGAACAAAACAAAACAAAACAGGTCAAACTCTAGAACAGGATGGACCTGAATACGTTCTGCCTGTTGCTTTTTTGCTTTACATTTATATTATTACATTGTTTAAAGAGTGTTTTCCTTGATGTGACAAAAAACTAAAAAACAATTTTAACTAAAACACTCAAATCTAACTAATTTTAAATGTGAAAAAGTTGCAGCTGAATGACTTTGGGAAACACCGATACGACACTGGAGTCGATACCAAAGGTTTGTACTCGTACCACAGGAGCCGGAACCGATTTATCATTTACATCAGCCTCACAACAGCCAACAGTGTTGCTATGGTGATAACCAAAAGTCTGCAGCGGCTAGCTTAGCTTAGCGGCTAGATTAGCTTAGCGGCTAGCTTAGCAGCAGACGGACTGGATCTCCGTCTCTAAAGTTCTCTAAAGTAAAGAGTGACCAGAGTAAAGCGGACTGTACTTTGTGTAAAACAATCATAAAGTGGAGCCAAAACAAACACGTAAAACCGTCAACAATACGACTCTCTGAAGAATGAATAATGAAGAAGAAATAATAATAATAATAATATTATCAGTTTTAAACAGCGCTTCTTTTGGACTCTCAAAGACACTTCACAGCTTTATTCATTCACCACAAACACGGTGATAAACCACAGTAGCCACAGCTGCCCCACGGCACCACACACACTCATTCTAATGTGGGGGGAGTGTCTTGCCTAAGGACACAACAGCAGTTTGGCACTTTACAGCCGCCCCACTGTGGCACCTGCTGTTTCCCGATGTCTCCCATCATAGTGCTAACCAGGCCCTGCCCTGCTTAGCTACAGAGGTCTGACCTGATCTGTCACATGCAAACGGTGCCCAATATTAATGATTTATGTCCTTCACAAAAACAGATTAATTCCATCAGAAAAAAAATGTGCCCAGTTTTTTATATAAATATTTTAGCGCTAAAAAAACCCAGCAGAACATGTGGAACCAGCAGAACATGTGGAACCACCAGAACATGTGGAACCACCAGAACATGTGGAACCAGTAGAACATGTGGAACCACCAGAACATGTGGAACCAGCAGAACATGTGGAACCAGCAGAACATGTGGAACCAGTAGAACATGTGGAACCAGCAGAACATGTGGAACCAGCAGAACATGTGGAACCACCAGAACATGTGGTACCAGCAGAACATGTGGAACCAGCAGAACATGTGGAACCAGCAGAACATGTGGAACCAGCAGAACATGTGGAACCAGTAGAACATGTGGAACCAGCAGAACATGTGGAACCAGCAGAACATGTGGAACCAGTAGAACATGTGGAACCACCAGAACATGTGGAACCACCAGAACATGTTGAACCAGTAGAACATGTGGAACCAGCAGAACATGTGGAACCAGCAGAACATGTGGAACCAGCAGAACATGTGGAACCAGTAGAACATGTGGAACCAGCAGAACATGTGGAACCAGCAGAACATGTGGAACCACCAGAACATGTGGTACCAGCAGAACATGTGGAACCAGCAGAACATGTGGAACCAGCAGAACATGTGGAACCAGTAGAACATGTGGAACCAGCAGAACATGTGGAACCAGCAGAACATGTGGAACCAGTAGAACATGTGGAACCACCAGAACATGTGGAACCACCAGAACATGTTGAACCAGTAGAACATGTGGAACCAGCAGAACATGTGGAACCAGCAGAACATGTGGAACCAGCAGAACATGTGGAACCAGCAGAACATAGAACCAGCAGAACATGTGGAACCAGCAGAACATGTGGAACCACCAGAACATGTGGAACCAGCAGAACATGTGGAACCACCAGAACATGTGGAACCAGCAGAACATGTGGAACCACCAGAACATGTGGAACCACCAGAACATAGAACCAGCAGAACATGTGGAACCAGCAGAACATGTGGAACCAGTAGAACATGTGGAACCACCAGAACATGTGGAACCACCAGAACATGTGGAACCACCAGAACATGTGGAACCAGCAGAACATGTGGAACCAGTAGAACATGTGGAACTAGCAGAACATGTGGAACCAGCAGAACATGTGGAACCAGCAGAACATGTG